TGCATTGGTATACAGGCATTTCAGAGAGCCAGTCAAGCACGCAGGCTTCCCAGGAGAGGTGCAAGAGGATCCTCCATAGCCATGTTCCGTGCTGTCTCCCCTGGCTGTGTGCACCCGCTGGAGGCATCCTGACTTGAGCGGTGTTTTACTGACTCCCCTGCCACTATACCACTCCCCTTCCCCCATCTTGCCTAGTTTAAAGCCCTCCTTAGCAGCCTGGCCAACCTGTTGGCAAAGACACGCGTGCCCCGCTTGGTAAGGTGGATCCCGTCGCTCCCCATCAGCTGTTGATCTTCAACCAGGGTCCCATGGTCATAGAAACCAAAGCCCTGTTGCCAACACCAGCGGCGCAGCCAGTTGTTAACTTGGAAAACTCGTCTACTCCTCCTCCCATCCTTTCCCCTCACAGGCAAGATTGAGGAGAAAACGACCTGGGCTCCCAGACCCTTCACCACCATTCCCAGAGCTCTGAAATCCTGTTTGATGGTTTCCAGTTTGCCTTTCGTGTCGTTAGCACCCACATGGAAGATGAGCAGAGGGTAGTAGTCCGATGCATGAACAAGCCTTGGCAGTCTTTCCATGACATCTCTTATTCGAGCCTCTGGCAGGCAGGAAACCTCTCTGGACAAGAGATCAGGTCTGCAGATAGGTGCCTCTGTCCCCTGCAGCAGGGAGTCACCCACAACAATCACTCGCCGTTTCTTCCAGGGGTTCCTGCACGGCACAGGGTCTGCCAGGCCAGTTGCCTCCCTTGGAGCCATGCCCAGCTCCTCCTCAGCTTGGAGAGCGCTAAACTTGTTCTTCACAGGCAGTTCTTGAGGAGGAGCAAGAGCCTTTCTCCTTCTATGAGATTTTGTGATTATAAAGTACAGATAGAAGTTAAAAGAAACATTTGCACAGTATTTGATGCTGCTGGAGCTAATAGTGTATCATAAAGAAAACCCCTCCTTGTCTACAAGTGAGAGAAAAAAAGCGTATAAGCAAAAATGTATAATGCTGAGTTGTCTTTTGAACCACATGTGTGTTTGGTCTTTAAAATCTCTTACTTTTCTCTAAGCTTTCTTGTTAACGTTCAGAGATGGGTATGCTTCATAATTTGATAGTCTTGGAGTTTCCAGCAACACGTTCCAAAATAAGTAAAGCTTCTTTCATAGTATTGACTACTTTGGAGCAAGTGCTCAGCTGCCTTGTTTAATATTAATTATCTAAATTTATGCTAAGAGTAAAAGCTCTGAGTGTAATAGAAGTAACCGTCCAATATCTGAATGGATGTCGGGTTTACTGTGTTACATTAAATTGCTTTTTTTAAAAATAAACCTCTCTACCGTTAGCCTTTTTGTACGGTCGTTTTTTTTTTTTTAATCTCAGTGTGAAGCTGTTTTGTCTCTTTGTACTTACGTAAAGACATTGAACAAGGCTTTGCCTGTAAAGGGCTGTTCTGTATCTGAATTGCATTGTTTTGTAGTATGATACCTTGAAATATCCTGAAATATATACTTTGAAACATCCTGGTAAGTCTAATTCACTTCATTAGCTAGTACATCCTTTTACAGGACTCAGAGGAACACCACAGAGGAACCAATGCGTTTCTAAAGAAAGAGCAAGAAAATAATCCACCGTTTGAAGATGACAAGTCAAAATTACAGGTGATTAGAGCAGAACATAACCCCTTTAGTAGCGTTCTGGGTACAGTTCATCTTATGTTTAGTACAGTGATAGCTTCTGCAATTGATTGGTTGCAGAGTGTGAAGGAATGCTTTGGGTGATAATGAAGATAACCCTATTTTTAATTGGAAAGCTAGAAAAATTCTGTTTTTAGTAAGCAAGCCTACCTACTGTCTTCAGTGCTCTAGGTAGAGGCAGTCTGTGCGACAGAGGTAGCTGGCTGCTGTTTTCTTGCTGGATGTGTTGTTCATCTTCAGTGAACGTGAAATTTTGATTTGATGCAATGTATTGATAAAGTAGTATTTACTGCTTGTTGACTGCTCTATCCTAATGGGAAGACAAACAACTAAAGGAGTCGCATACGGTACTTTGTCAAGCTAGCCCACGAAATGTGTGGTGTTTGGCTACTGTTTTCTATTTTGGTGCTGCCGACTGGTTGGCAGCAATATATTACTGTAGCACAACAGATGTCTTTCCTTTCTGATCCTAAATTAACCCAAAGGGAAAAAAAATATGTTGTTGATCTACTGTCTCTATTGGCAGGATATTATACCTCAACCTTTGTTAGACCAGTACTTGTCGATGACTGATCCTGCTCGAGCCCAGACTGTTGATACTGAAATAGCCAAACACTGTGCATATAGTCTTCCTGGGGTGGCCTTAACACTGGGCAGGCAGAACTGGCACTGTCTAAAAGATACATACGAGACTTTGGCCTCAGATGTACAGGTAAAATAATCCCCTTCCCCCGCCCCCCCATTGCTAAATCACAACTTTGAATAGCTTTTTTTGTCCATTTTGCTGCAATGAAACGATAAATAATAGCAAATACTTTATAGTTTCTAATAAGGGATAAAATGTACACTTAAAATATAAGACTCGAGGCTTAAATCCATAAATATGATAAATGTTTTCTACTGCTACGTAACCAGCCGTGTTTCTTCCGCTCCCTCATTCCCTCACGTAGGTGTATTTCAGAAGCCTCTTTATTTTAGTTACGATGCCTAATCTAGTTCTCCACTTAAACTGTTTGCAGTGGAAGGTTCGTCGGACACTAGCTTTCTCCATACATGAACTGGCTGTTATTCTGGGTGATCAGCTAACAGCTGCTGATCTGGTGCCAATTTTCAATGGATTCTTGAAAGATCTCGATGAAGTGCGCATTGGTGTCCTGAAGCATCTCTATGACTTTCTAAAGGTAGGAAAATGTAATTTAATTTTTCAAGATTATATAATAAAGTCAGGAAAAAAGATAATTTTTTTAATGAAATGTGCAGGTATCAACATCCAATTGCAAATGCTTAGTTTTGTGAGGTACTGCTACTCTGTGTGTATATTACCTTTTTAAGGACCTTCACTTCTCTGCTGTCTCATATCCCATGAAAATATCAAAACTAAAAACCCTTTGTAAGTGCTCCCGAGTGTTGTAGAAGAATTAATATTTTGTGCAGTCAAGCTAGCAAGTTGGCCTTTAGCAATTTAGCAATGTTTGAGGTAGGAGAAGAGAGAACATATCTCTCAACTGCTGCGTAATAAGCATAAATCTTTAATTTTGCATTGCTCAGTCTTGTGTTCAAAGATGGGACTTTGACAGATATCCTTGCAGAAGTGATCAGGTATGTATTTTTTTTTAGATGTCAGTCTTCTGCATCCAGGTGCTCTGCTGGTGTGCACAATGTTTAGTTAATCTTGTAAATGATCGCTTGCCTTCAGGTAGGGAAATGCAAATTGGTGTGAGTAGAGGAATACAGTAGAGTACCGTGGAATTCTATCAGCTGTATGCTAGTGTAATGATTTTTCCCTCAGTTACTTCATGAGGACAAAAGGCGAGAGTATCTTTACCAACTTCAAGAATTTGTGGTGACTGATAACAGCAGGAACTGGCGGTTTCGTTACGAGCTGGCAGAGTAAGTGAACTTGTGAATTTCTGATTTTGATCTATGTTACTAACTTGGAGATAGCTAATTGTGGTCAGAATTCGGCATACCATGACTTTGAGTTAAAGGATTATAGCTGTCCTTTATTAAGGAACTGAACTTAAAGGCCAGCTGACTGCTTTTTTCTAAGTTGCGTTTTAACCAAGGATGACTGAAAGTGAATGTTACGATATTGTTGGAGGGAAGATTTGCTGGCACTCATGTAGCTTATGAAATACAAGTGTCTGATAGATACTGAGGTGATGCTTTAGATTTTATTCAGTTCTGGCCATCTGTGAAATCAGTAAAATGCATGTATAAAGTCATTTATCTAGTAAGTAAATGCATAATAGAAAAGCCAGGGTTCTGGGGGGTTTATGCGGGTGTGTTTTTGTTGATTGTTTTGTTGTTGTTGTGTTTGTAAGTGTGACTTAAAGTCTGCAACTAAAATCTGACTTTCATAGTTCTCTCAGTGGTTTGTTTGGACTTTTGATTTGATTTACTCTCCTTTGTTACTTGATGTAACAGACTAAATCTGACCGAGGTGCAGTGATGTTGTATAGAAGTTCTCTGACATCTAGTGGGGAGCTGGGGAGCTGGATAACTTAATGGGATTTGTTTATGTGTGACTGCCAGTTACCTGCCAGTGTTGATATGGCTAGAAAGAGTGCTGTTCAGCTTCACGTGATTAAGTCGTTTTCTGAAAGGCAGATCTTTACACTGAAGTAAATTTTTCATTTTTACTTTACAAGAACGTTCAAAGTGCAGGTCTGAAATTGCGAAGAAACTTCTTTCTCGTTGTACTTTGGTTTGTAGTTGTTGTTGTTTGGGATAATTTTGATGCCTTTGTACATCTGCAGATTGAGTAAAGGTTTCTGCCTTGCACTACTTGATGGATTAAAACATGTGCCTGTACATGTGCATTCCTTCAAAAGTAAATAGAAGAAAAGGCTATTCGAGCGCTGTGTAATAACCACGATAGCCTTCAAAACTCCAAGTAAACCTTCCCTATATCTTGGCAGGACAGCATAGTCGGAGCAGGTTAGTGTTGCACTTCCTAGAACTGATTCCTTTCTTTTCGTTTCAGGCAGCTGATCCTAATATTGGAACTCTACAATCCCAATGATGTGTATGACTACTTAAGACACATTGCACTGACTCTCTGCTCTGATAAAGTGTCAGAAGTTCGATGGATCTCCTTCAGACTGGTAGGGAATCTGGTTTGGTTGCTGGCGGAAGCTGAGGAATCTTGTGAGGAATCTGTCCATGTAGCCTAAGAAGCTAGTGTCTGTCTCTGTTCAGAAGTTACTAGCCTTAGTGAACTCTCTCTGCTCTTTCAGACAAGTATTATGAAGACGGGCATGTTTTCATAAATGTTGTAAAAACGGGTAAAAAACTGACACAAACACTTTAAATTCTGTAAAAGCCAGACAACTCAAAAGATTTTATGAAGTTTTACTCTGCTGGTTGTATCTGAATGACAAATTTATTTTTAGCTGGATGGAAGTGAGGAAAAAGATGATTTAGACCTTCCTCCATTTCTTCTCCCTACCCCCACACCCCCCAAAAAAAAAAAAATTGACTAGGCTTTCCTTGAAGTTGGTTTCATTTGTTATGAACTTGATGCCACTCGTTCAGGACATCTGTGGGTGATGGGGTTAAGTTGTCAGTTTCTCTTTTTTCTTTCACTTTTTTTCTTAATCTTTGTGGAGACACAGAAAAAACATTACTTTAACTGTTGTTTTAGTTTTGTTAGCGGTTTTGTTCAATTTGAACAAACAGATTTTTAAAGATAGTTTCTTCCTATCACAGCGTAAGCTTTCTCTGCAGAAAGCTTTTCTACAGTGTAAGCACAGAAATTTAATAAAGTCTGCAAGCCCAGCTGGTTATATTGAATATATTGTTTTTAATGTTCCTCTGTAAGAGTCAAATAAAATTAGGTCTTTCTAGCTGCTGGTGCTGCAGTTTAAATCTCACCTCTGATTTCCTTTCCCCCCACCCCTTACTTTGCCCCACAGGTTGTAGCCATACTGCAGAAGTTCTATGCAAACAATGCAAATGCACTGGGATTAAATTTCATTAATGAACTTGTAGTGCGGTTCCGTCACTGCTCCAAGTGGGTTGGAAGACAAGCTTTTGCCTTCATTTGTCAGGTTGGAATGCTCTCTTCTATGCTTCTCTGTATGTTTATTTCGGAGCCAGTATGAAGCTTTTCAGCAGCGTAGGCAAAACTGAAATTTGCACCCCAAAGATTTTTGTCATTGTTCTTGGGTTGATTAAAAGGCAGTAGCAGAATTGGTCTGGTGTCAGTAGTGGCATATGGCTATCCAGGTTTGAAGCTGTGGTCTCTGTTTTGGGCTATGCCTTCTGCTGGAACAGCTAATTCTTGTCCTTTCTGGCATCCTAGCAGCGAACTCGAGAACTGATGATTCCTAGGCTGAGATGCCTTTTGTAACGCCCGGTTTGATAACGATAGGATAAGGGCTCACGAGATCTCTTTGAACTGCCAGTGGCTGTCAGATGCTGAGAACTGTTTACCTCCATTTCTACCTCCAAAAAACAAAAAGGCTTGCTCCAGTAACGATGGAGAGCCAGGGGAGGGGAGTTGAATGTTGAAAGGCAGAGGGATGGTGACAGAAGAGAGAGCAGTGTTTCCTAGAACATGGTTTAAAAATAGTTGTCTGTTCTTGCTGGGCCATCTTCAGATGAATTTTGGAATAGTAAGACACATTCATAACAGTATTTCAACTTCATTAAGGTTATACTTATTTCATCAACATAGAGTATATTTTTTTTCATAATTAAACTTTAACTTTCTTTATGGACAGGTCAAATTAAGGCCAAGGAAGGAATGGCAAATAGTGTATTTGTAACATAAATCCTGCTTTCTCATGTTCTGCATTTATCCTGTAGGCGGTAGTAGAAGAAGAATGTATGCCTATCGACCAGTTTGTTGAACACTTACTCCCCAGTCTTTTAAGTCTTGCTTCAGATCCTGTGCCAAACGTAAGGGTTCTGCTCGCCAAGGCTCTAAGGCAGACGTTATTGGAGAAAGGTGTGGTTATTAATTTCTTTTGAAAGAATTAATGTGTCATGAATTTGTCCTTTCTCTGTCTCTCTGTCAGTGCAGTGTGGGTGGGTGGGTGTTTTTTTCTTTTTTTTTTTTTTTTTTTTTTTTTTTTTTTTTTTTACAAATTGGCTCACTCAACTGATAAAAGGATGTTTGGCTTTATTTATACTGAAAACACATCATAGGGTATAATCTGGGATACTGCATTTAAATTCAGATTTAGGAATGTATGAAGTGGAATGTTTCTTTAATTATGAAACCTATAGTGGCTTTTTTTCTTAGAATAATTGTTCATCATACCGCTAAAGGACCTGAAACTGACCTTATCAAAAATTTGACAAATGTAATATTTTATCCACTAGAGGGCAGTTGCATACTTGTTTATAATGGGAAGTAGTAAATGCTGCTGCACATGCAGTTTTTTTAGTCTCTGTGATACCTATAGCAAATACTTTTTTTTTTTTTTTTAAGAAATTCTAAACATTGCGTTAGGTTCTTTTGATATATTCTGAACCTTATGTGAATATAGTAGTTTTCTGTGTGGTCCTTCAAATGAGGTGTTCTACCCTTTTCTGAAATACCTTGCTTTGTCATCTTAGTCTTAAGCTAACTGCTCTGCTAGTAAAGAATGTAATTTTGCATGCTGCCACAACTGGTTCCTTAAATCAAAAAATAAAACCCCCCAGGTGATCATTCGTTATGCACAAGCATTTCTTCTCCTGTCCTTTTTCAGAGTAAAGTATACAGTGTTCTGTAAAAACAAAAAACAAACAAAAAACCAAAAAAAAATGTACAATAGCAGCTTCCTGAGCTCATTTGCTCTTACTGGTATGTTTTCATGTAGGGCTTAGCAAAAAGAATCTCTTTTAGAAATACCTAAGTACTTCTCAAATAAGACTAAGGGGGGACAGATCTAAGTACAAGTAATTGAGTAAGAAGCATGTTTCTTTTTCTCTGTCAGCTTCGCTAGCTTGCTGTAGTTTCTCTAAGGAGTCTCTGAATTGAATGTGCTACCCCAGATGATCTTAACAGCTTCTCTGTTCCTGTACTGTATGTGTCCTGTAGTTTAAGAAAAAATTTTCATTGATTCTTTTGGCTATGATTAAAATTATCTTTTCTCCCCTTATTCTAGCTTATTTTAAAAGCGTTGGCAATCCTCATCTAGAAGCTGCGGAAGAGACTGTTCTAGCTTTGCAATCTGACAGAGACCAAGATGTGTCCTTTTTTGCCACCATAAAGCTAAAGCAGAATAACATGGACAATACTGCGATTGAAAAACAAAACTGATGTGTTCTATAAACCCTAAACATCTAAATGGTTATTTGCCTCATGTTCACAGTTAGTGTGAATAACATGGACAAATAAGAAAAGAATCTTTTGTCGTCTACTTGAGCTGGAAACGGCCTGTTCAAAAATGCAGTGATCTTCATTTGATGACCACTTTTCATCTACAGCTGTGCATGATATGCATTAGCTTTTTTTTGTCCTTGTAAACGTGGGTGATAACTCTGATGTCAGCCTGCAATTCTGTATTGTATATAAATTCTGAAACGTACTCAGTGTTTCAGTGTGAACAGAGTACATATTCCATAATTTAAAAAAAAGCAAACAATTCCATAAGTAGGGCAGTCTGCTATAAGCTTGAAATGGTTTCTTAATTTTAAAACCTCCATAGCAGATTTAAGTAGGGATATTCTTTCCTCATTTTTATTGTAGCTTTTGTATTGTTTAAAGTATTACATTTTATTTTAACTGAAAAAAGTGTATATATGTGAATAGTTTTTAAGTTTTAACAAAAAATGATGAAGAATCTAATCCCATAGCAGTCAAAAAGCTCAAAAAACATTTCATTTTATACAGCAGTTTGTTGAAATTAGGGCGTGGTTCACTTTTACTTAATGTGATATTTTTTTTAAAGCACAGAGAGCTCAACATTCTTTGTATATTCTGACTTTTCTATTACTTTGTTGTTTCCACGCTATAGTCTTACAGGTGATAACACTGTTTTCATTACTGCACGAGCTTATAGTTGAATATAGACTGTTCATTTCCCAAACTGAAAATTGCTCTTTCTACCCTAGCAAAGCTCCTTTCAATTAAGGGATTCAGAGTTCCTGGAATGTGCGATTTATCTTCAGAAGAATATTACAGAATTTTACAGAGTAATTAACCTTTGTACATGTCTTTCATGCACACCTGATTTGGGGAAAAAAAACCCACTACCTTTTAACTGGTCCAACATTCAAATCCCTGAGAACCTGCTATTTCATTTCTAAGTAAGAGGTAAGGGGATTTTATTTGGGATCTCTAAATTCTAGAATGCTCCAAATGGCAAATATTCATTTGTGCATATGTATATATACATACATATATGTGTGTGTATGTATATATAGTGTGTGTGTGTATATATGTGTGTATATATATGAACATTTGCCATTTGTATTAACAAAATTCTCTTAAAACCTGCTAGCTTCTAACCATTTTTCAAAACTATAAAGCTGATACTTTTTGGTGGATCTTGTCCTCTGTTATGTCCCAAATCTGCAGCTAATGTAGGGCCTTCAGAGGGGAAAGGGGGAAAGGAATCACACACACACACATACACACAAATATTTGAAAGCTTCTCATTGACTTTTAGGGGTTTTTGTCCTGTCCAAAAACTAATGCTTAATTACTAAAGAATGGACTCATGTAGTAACAGATAAATTATTGTGCTCACACAAAGAAAGTATCCTAAGTGCACAAGTGGGAATATCTTTCTCCTTATTTCATTACTATACTAATTAAGTAGTTCAACTGGGTGAAA